GTGTGTGTGTGTGTGTGTGTGTGTGTGTGTGTGTGTGTTTCTCTAGAGGCAATCGGGAGTGACTTTCCCAGGGTCACATAGCCAGTAAATGTTAAGTGTCTGAGATTGGATTTGAACTCAGTTCCTCCTGACTCCAGGACCGGTGCTGTCTCTACAGCGTCACCTTGTATTCTTTCCCCATTGCAGATTTCTAACCTGTATGAAATGTGGGCAGTTTTTGATGGCTTTTAAATTTTTTTTTTAAAGTAGAACTCTCACTAAGTCTTTGTCTCCAGGTAGTGCCTGGAGCACGTTCAGAAGTTACCTTATGAAATCTAAACTTGAGCTGGCCTCCAGGGACCACTTCCCAGGTCTCTTAGAAATGGAATCTTCTAGGGAATTTCTCTCTATTTCTAAACACCAGCCTCCAAGGCCCTTGTTTATAGCTGCAGGCTTGACAGCTTCTCATGAAGTTAGTTCCTTCCCACCCCCACCCCCCTCACCAACCCCTTGGCTTCAGGGCCTGAATCCTTTCTTATTCTCAACAAAAGAGAGAGAGAGAGAGAGAGAGAGAGAGAAGAGAGAGAGAGAGAGAAGAGAGAGAGAGAGAGAGAGAGAGAGAGATGTGTGTGTGTCTGAAAAGGGGTCCTGGGGGGAGGGTCTAGGGGTAGAAGTGGGCACGTTTGAGAGAAAGACCTCTGCTCTCAGTCATTACAGGGCTGAGCATCCTGTCCCAGCCCTTTCAGGCTCGTATCAGAGCTGGGGATTCTCCACTCAGTGGGGAAGGTCAGAGGACGTTCTTTCCTCCTCCGCTGGCCCTTTTCTCCCAAGAGAACACCAAGAAGACAACACTGTGGGAAAACATGTGGGAGCTTCTCAGAAACACGTTCTTGAATGTCTTAAATATTCAATTTCCTGGAGTTAGGGAAAGAGACACTTTTATGAGGTTTGCACAGCAGACCTTTTCAGGAAACATTTTTTTTTTTGCAGGTGGAGTGAAGGCCCAGGTTTTTCACTCAAGACCTAGATTCAGCTTCTGGAAATTACAGTGGGGATAAATACCATGTAGAAATCAGACTAAAGGCAGTGATGTGCAGTGGTCAGAAAGCTTGCCTTGAAGCCAAGAAGTCCTAGGTTCAAGACCCATCTCTGCCATAGACAGACTGCATGACCCTAGGAAGGTCACTGCCCCTCTCAGTTCTCGGACCCACTCTGAGATGATAAGTTGCAGAGAAGTTGGCAACCAGCAAGGATTCTTATCTGGGAGTTCCTCAATTCACTGAGATCACAGGTCCAGCCTCTTGCCTCTAGCGCTCAGCCATCTCCATGGCTGAAGTCTTTCCCTTCCTTCAAGACCCAGCATTGGGCCCCCTCTTCTTTCTTAATGTCAGCTCCCCAGTCGTCCAAGGGGAGTCTGAGCTTTCTCTGCTCTTCTCTGGTGTGGTCTGTCTTAGCACATGGTCTGGGCCTCTCCTCTCCACTTATCCCACTCCTAAGATAACAACTGCCATTTCTGTAGCATTGTAAAGTTATCCCAAGGCTAGCCAGACATTATTTTCCCATTTGATCCTCACAACAAGCTGGTGAGACTGGTAGTATGTCTTACTGGTCTCATTACACATAGGAAAAATAGGCCAGAGAAATTAAGAGCCTTGCCCAGTGTCACATGGCTAGGGAATTCCAGAGGCAGTGTTTGAACCAAGGTCTAGAAGACTAGATTAGATCTCTCTAGAGAGCCTAGATGATGTGCTCCCTAGGATTGCAGAATTTAGGTCTAGAACTCATCTAGTTCAACACCTTTTATTTTACGGATGAGGAAACTGAGGCCTGGAAAAGATGAGAAGATACTAATCACAGGTCACATAGGCAGGAGGGTATAGACATGGGATTCACAATCAGGTCCTCAGTGCTCATCCTTCTAGACCACACCATCCTTTCCCTTGGGTCATATCTTGTTGTGATCCTGTCTCCCCGTCTTTAGAACGTAAACTTCTTGAAGGCAGGATCTCTTTTTGGATTTCTTTTTGCGTCTCTAACATCTAGCCCCTGGTGCCTTGTCCATAGTAGAAACTCAATACATTTTTCCATCATATTTATTTATTTTATTTTTAATTTGTGGAATAAAACAAGCATTTCCATAACATAGTATAATAAAAAAGATGATTGCACGTGAAATAAATATTGACGTCCATCTATGGTCATGATCATTTCCTGATGATCAGAGATGTTCAATAGGGTTTCTTCCAACTCCAGATTCTGTGAGATTCCATGACTCAACCCCAAAGATTATAAAGACATCAGGGCAGCTCATAGGGTTGGTTGAACTTCCGAGGGTCCACCAGAAAGTTCAGCCATCCCCATGAGCTACTCTGCTGTCTTTATAATCTTGGGGTTTAAGAGTTATAGAACCTCACAGAATCTGGAGTTGGAAGAAACCTCATCTAGTCCCACCTGGCCCTGAACAGGGTCCCACAGGTCTTGGAAAATGGGTCCTGGAACTGTCCCAAGATGGTGTCCAGTCATTGTTTGAAGCCTTCCAGGGAAGGAGAGGTACGCTTGGCCCAGGCCAGTGTGTGATGAGATCCAAAGTTTCAGAACTGGAACAGGCCACGGAACTGAGATTTCTCACTTTTTTTGCGTACAAGAATCCTTTTGGATATCAATGCTGCTTCCCATCTATTTAAAAAGGGACAAATCTCCCCACCCCCTCCCATAGCCCTGCACTTTCAGAGGCAGAAAGACAAGCACTCTAGGTTATGACAGGTTGGCATAACTTCCAAGTTTTGATTTGTTCCCGAAATCCGAGCTCAGTCTTGAGGCTAGGGCAGCTTTTGGGGGGGGAGGGAGCTGCTTCGCTGGTGCTGAGCGAGTCACTGAGGCTCTACTGAGGAAGCCCCGGGCGTCAGGGTTCCTAGATTGGTGTTTCTGTGCCTTTCTTATGAGGCAGATTTGACCTTGACGAGTCATTGCAGGCTGTCTCTGACCAGAGGAAAGTAAAGCTCTGTGGCTGAAAAGCCTCCTGTCCTCTCCCTAAGTAGGCTGGCTCCTGGCAGTGTAGTGTGGTGGGGGAAGGCTCTGGAATGGGAACCAGAGGTGCGGGTTCAAATCCTACTCTGCCACTTAGTACCAGTGGAATTCTTGTCAAATCACTTGAAATCTCTATGCCTCAGTTTCCTCATTGGCAGAAAGGGGCGGGAGGAGGGAAGGGTGGTGAATAATGGGAGAGAAGGAAGAGGACAACAGCAGAAAGATCCCTGAATTTGGAGTCAGAGGATCATTGAGAGCTGGAAGGGGCATCAGAGGCCATCTTGCCCACACCTTCATTTTACAGAGGAGGAAACTGAGGCACATGGAATTTAAGTCACCCAGATAGGATCAAAGGATCAGAGATTTTGTGCAGAGAGGAACTTAGAGGTCGTCCAGTTCAGAGACGTCCAACTCTTAGCTCTGCAAAACTTCCCAGTGCCGACAGAACCAGATGGCAGTAGAATTAGGAGATGTTTAATAAAATCAACACCAATACAATACAACACAGATGTTATCAATTTGTGGTTTTCTAAATCAGTCTGTAGTATGTAGGGATCCTTTGAGGTGGACCCCACTGGTCTAGTCCAACCCTTCATTTTTCCGAGGAAGAGAACCCAGAGAGAGGTTGAGTCACACAGGCAGGGTGGTCGATTTAGAGCTGGAAGGTTCTTTAGAGGTCAGCCAGTTGACCTCTTCATTTTACGTTTTACAAAAAAAAGGAAACTGAGTCCCAGAGAGGCTTGAAGTCCCCTAGGTAGTAAGCTGCAGAGCCAGGTCTTTTGACTCTGCATCCGTTGCTCTTTAAAGTTAACCATGTTATCTCTAAATTCTCCAGGCATTTGGGTTTTCTGATCTCCTCCCCTCCCAGATTCCTCCCCCATTCCATTTTACAGATGAGGAAACTGAAGCCAAGAGAATTTAAGGGATTTGTCACACACACACAGAATAGTGGGCTGAGGCAGGATTTGAACCCAAACCCTTGGCTTGGGGTCAGAGGAAGCTGGGCATAACTGAAAAATGAAAGAGGCAGCCTCCCCTCCTTGGATACCTTCCAGCAGGGGCTGGTGGACCACTCGTTGGGCGTGTTACAACAACAACAGCAAATAGTAGCATGTCTATAGCACTTTAAGGTCATTTCATTTGATCCTCCTAATATCCCTGGGAGGTGGGTTGTATTGTTAGCCCCATTTTATAGGTGAAGAAACTGAGGCACAGAGAGGTTAAGTGACTTGACCACAATCACATAGGAACAAGAATTGTAAGTGCCTGAGGCAGGATTTAAACTCAGATCTTTCTGATTCCAAGTCCAACACTCTATGTATGGTGGGGATTACTTGGTCTAGGTGACTGCTGAGTTCCAGCTTTCATATTCTCTGATTCTTTGAGTAACAGTAGACCCAGTGTGGGAGTGGTTTTTGAAATGCTTTGAGTTCTTCAGATGAAAGCTCCCGCATAAATACAGAGTCATATTATGCTGCTGAAACTAGAGTGGGGGTGACTTGCCCACTCCCTCCAGCCTTATCAAAGCCAGGGAAAGGAGATAGGTGAGAGAATTCTCAAGGGACTCATTCTCTATGGCCCCTTGCCCAGCTCAGAGTCTTAAAGCATCTTGATTGTATTGGGAGGTGAATGTCTTAAAACCAGTGAGAGACATGAAGAGATTGTCTGCCTGACTGGTCACTTGACACTAATGTCCTATCTAAGGAAAGCTTGTCCATGAAACTTTCCCGAGGCCTGTGTTTTCATGGGTCTTGAACCAGGAAACCAGATCGACATCATTCCCACACAATTTCCCCACTGTAAACTTTTGTGGCTGGGCTCTGATTTAACTACTCATGCCTAGTCATTAGCTTGCGTAAGTGGATTCCTAGATACCAGCCGTAGAGAGCGCCATCTTGGTTTGGAGCTCAGGAAGTTTTCATTGTGGCCAGTGAGAAGAACAGACTCTTGGCTCAGAGCCCTCCATAATGGCTTGATTGTGTGCTTCTTTTTAGTTGACCATGTTGTTCCTGAGCCCGGGACCAGCCTGCTGACGGCCTTCGACCAGTGGAGAGAATGGGCAGACAGCAAGTCTTGCTGTGACTACTCTTTGCACGTGGACATCACAGAGTGGCATAAAGGAATCCAGGAGGAGATGGAAACCCTGGTGAAGGACCACGGTAGGTTGGCAGTGTCCCATCGCCCTTGTGGAGAAGGCCATTCTGGGGCCTCGGTTTTCATTCATCGTGGTGGGCGACATTTATGTACATATGTTCAATTGAGTTCAGCTCAATGCAACGAACATTTACTACTCAGTCAACCAAGACGCATTTATTAAGTACCTACTACAGGCCAGGCACTGTGATGGGTGCTGGGGACGCAAATACAAAAGATGAAACAGTTCTTGCCCTCACGGAGCTTACATTTTAATCATTTGCTGTATTAACCCCCCCCCCCCCCCCGCCCAGGTCCTAGGGTGAGTCAGTCTGTGCCTTCCAGATGCTTGTTTTCCACTTGGGTTTGGGGGATATGTACACAGATAAGTGAGTCCAGTGTGTCTGCCAAGTTAATATAAAGTGACTTCAGGGTAGCGGAAGGTGGATTTAGGCCATCAGGAGGAGATGGCGTTTGAGCTGAGCTTTGAATCATCTCCTCCACTGTGTTCCTCCTTGGATGCCCTTTGCTGGTGTGGTGATAAGCCTGACTTCTCCCCAGCTGGCCTTCTTGTCACCCAGGTTTGTAACCTTGGCATTATCCTTGGATCCACCCAATGCCTCACCTTCCAGACCCAATCAGAAGGCATCTTGTCAATATCCCCTGAAAACATCTCCTATCATCCCCCTCTCTCTAGTCGCATAGTCACCACCCTAGGTCAGGTCCGAATCACCTTTTATCTGGGATGTTGCGATGGCTTTCTAATTGGCCTCCTGGCGTCAAGCCCATCCCAAATCCATCCTCCATACAGCTGCCATATTGATTTTTCTGACCATATTACTTCTCCTCCTCCTCCTCCTCAATAAACTTTAGTGGTTGCCTAGAACCCCTAGCATCAAATATAAACTCTTCAGGCATTCTAAGCCCTTCACAAACTGGCCTCATCCCCCCTATTCAGCCTTGGTCCTCCTCTTCACACCCACTTTGATCCTTCCCGTCATTGTTCCATCACTCAGTTCAGTATTAGGAGGAGCCAGAGAGAGGCTGTCTCCTGTGAAGTGCTTTGTAAGCTGTAAGCACTGTCCTTCCTAGAAGCTTTAGTATTTCCTGGGGATGCCACGTTATTCAAGCTTGACTCGAACCTCCATTACTTGTGGCCCTGGGCTCCTGGGACACAAATCTCAAGGATTTTCTGAAGCCCCTGCTGAGAAGACTCTGGTGGGACAGGGGTAGAAATTTTGTCACCCATGGAAGGGTGCTTTTTTGCTCCTTAGCTCCTAGCTTCCTAGCTAGAGACACTAGTATAGGTGTGCCGGTGTATATTTGAGTAAATGTTTAACCACCTGCTCTCAGGGAGAAAAAAGTATGTATGACATATGTAACTTTTAGGTTTAATCCAAGCATTATTAATTTTTTCTCCATCACTTTCCCAAGTCTAGTCAACCAACAAAATAAACAAAGGCCAGATGGGCAATATTTGCACATTTCCAAGGTATAAATATTTACAATGGAAATTTAACAACCAGCTTTTGGGATCTAGCGTGAGCTGGCTTTAGCACAGTCCTGAGTCAGATCTATACATACTACAGTCACTTGGACAAGTGAACTGACTCTATCGGAGCAGATTCTATTCTCTGAGCTGACAGACTTATTTTTTATAAGCATTTCTTAAAAATTAGTGTGGGCCGATTCTCAAGGCAACTTTGTATCATCACGGATAGTGTGCTGGAGGTTGAGTCAAGAAGACTTGAGTTCAAATGTTGCCTCAGGTACTACCTTTGTGACCCTAGACAGGTCACTTCACTTCTTGTCCTTATTATCCACTCTGTAAAATGGGGATGATAATAATAGCACCTAATATCCCAGGGTGGTTGTGAGGGTCCAAGCTGATAACTTATGCAAAGCTCAAAGAAATACTAATGAGTGTTGTTATATATTGGGAAAGGAAGAGAATCTAAAAATAAAAAGTAGCAGCAAAAAGTTAAAAATCAATGAAACAATGAGTAAAATTGAAAAAACAAATCAATATAGACTGAATGAAGGGAGGGAGGCTGGGTGCTGGAAGAGAGGAGTGCTTGTCAACCCAGCAGTCAGTCAATCCACCAGCAAACCTTTGTTGCCCTATGAAGGCAGCGAGTCTTCCAGACTCCTTCCCTCACTAAGGTCAGGTTTCCTTTTCCCCCTCTGCCTTGTTTGATTTGTCTGACAGTTTCTTCCACTTCTTTCTCTCTCTCCCCACCAGGCGTCAACTCCTTCTTAGTGTACATGGCCTTCAAAGATCGCTTCCAGCTCACAGATTCCCAGGTAGGAATCCATCATGTTGTTGTCTCCAAAGGGACTTGGCAATACTTAACAACCTTCATTTTCTTTTCTTTTCTTTTTTTTTTTTTTAAGAATAGCTAGTATGAGAAGCAGCTAGGTGGCAGGGTGGATAGAGCACCTCCCTGGAGTCAGGAGGACTCGAGTTCAAATCCAGCCTCTCACACTTACTAGCTATGTGACCTTGGGCAAGTTACTTAACCTGTATTGCCTCCCAAAAAAAGGTTAAAAAAAAGAATACCTGGTATATGTCAGAAGCAGGCCTTGACCTCAGGTTTTCAAGTGTCTGAGGCCAGCTTCTCTCTCTAGCTTTGTCTGATAGAGGCAAAGTGATTTGTCTGAGGTCCCATAGCATTGGGTTCAAATTCTACCTTTGTTACTTAAGCTGTGTGACCTTAGGCACTTCATTTCACCTTTGCTAGCCTCAGTTACTTCATTTGTAAAACCAGGGGGTCAGACTACAGAATCACAGAATCATGAAACCTTGGAGTTAGAGGGGGACCCAGAGGCCATCCAGTCCAATCCATATTCCCCAAAGAATGGCCATGGCTGCACCCGTCATGTGGCTAACCAGACTCTGGTTGGAGAGGTCCAGTGATAGGGAACCTGCCATTTCCTGACACAGCCAGTTCCACTTAGGAACACCTCTAATTGTTAGGATGTTTTTCCTGAAATCTAGACTCAGTTGGCCTCCATTTTCAGCTTCCATCCATGGCTTCTAGTTCTGTTTTCTGGAGCCAGAAAATCTAGATGAATCTCTTCTACATAATAGCCTTAAAATGTGCTTGAAGATATCTGTCATTCCTTCCCCCTTGCTCCTTTCCCAAGGCTTTTCTTGTTCTGGCTATACATGCCCAGTTCCTTTAGCCTCACCTCATGGGGCATGGGCATTGTCAATGGGGCACCTGTCCTAAGCTGAGGCACCCAGAAGCGAACCTAACCCAGTAAGGACTCTGGCTGGTGTCAGACTGAATGACTTCTGAGGTCCCTTTTTTTCCCTATTTCTTTTCTTTACTTTTTAGATTTATTTTTAGTTTTCAACATTCACTTCCACAAGCTTTTGAGTTTTAAAATTTCTCCCCCTCCCTCCTCACCTCCCTCCCCAAGATGGTGTGCAATCTGATATAGGTGCTATGTATACATTCCTATTAAACATTTTCACATTAGTCATGTTGTAAGGAAGAATTAGAACCAATAGGAGGAACCACAACAAAGAAGAAACAAAACAAAACAGAAGAAAAAAAAGAGCCAGTAGTATGCTTCGATCTGTATTCAGACTCCATAGTTCTTTCTCTGGGTGTGGATGGCACTTTCCATCATAAGACTTTTGGAGATGTCTTAGATGCTTGCATTGCTGAGAAGGGCTAAGTCTATCAAAGTTAGTCATCTCACAACGTAGCTGTTACTGTGTACAGGGTTCTCCTGACGTCCCCTTTCAGTGTAAATCCCACAAACTTGTTATCTCTCTCTTCTCTGGTCCTGTGATGGTGCCTGCCGCCTGGGCCCGGAAATGGCTTGCCTTGTCAATAAGGTTTTCTCAGCTTTCCCAGTGCATCTGTCAAAGGGCCGTCCTCAGGGTTTCCCTGAGTGAGCCTGGGCCTGAAACAGCAAACTAATTCAGAAGCTTCTGGGTCCCCATCCAGGATTTTCTAGGTTATGCCGCCTCTGAAATGCTGAGTGGCCCCACTGCACGAACCGTGCCCCATAAATGTCTCTTTGAGGGCTTGGGAAAGGAGATTTTAAAAGACAGGATTACGGGGAAAACAATGGAATGCAGGGGGAGAACAGTGACATTGGAGTCGTGGGACCCGAGTTCAAATCCTGATGCCATCATTTACCTGTCTGACCTTGCATAAATCTTTTCACCTCCCTGGGCCTCAGTTTCCTCATCTGTAAAACAAAGGGTTTGAACCAGATGGTTTCTGTGGTCCCTTCCAGTTGTAAATCTGTGATTTGGGGTGAATGGTACCCTGACCCAGAAGAGTTCATGCCTGGGGAGTAGAAAACACAAGCACTAACTGCGTTAACTCTCCTCCAGATCTACGAAGTCTTGAGCGTGATCCGCGACATTGGCGCCATTGCCCAGGTTCATGCTGAAAACGGTGACATCATTGCAGAGGTAATGCGCTCCTGTGCAGTCATTTCCTTATTAGCCCCAGATCGAAGTGGGGTACGTGAGTGGAAGCACCAGCCCTGTATTGTAGACCCTTGGTAACAAAGGAGACAATGGGATAGGTTTTTCCATTCAGGCCTGTTTGGCATTGCCAGGGCCTGGCACTCCTGTAAATCATGTGGTCTCTCTGGAGACCACAGCAGTATAGAGCCTCGTCTACACATACCTCTTCCCCTTCCCCAGGGGGATCGTTTCACTCAGGGCTGCAATGCCAGTGTCTCTGGGGTGGAATCCATTCACTCTTTGGTTAAGCCTGGATATTCGACCCTGGTGGTACAGGGCCAGGAATGCATTACTTTTCAGCCTGTCCCAGAGGCCTCAAGCGTGTCAGGGGGCTGTAATTCACAAGCCACTGCTCAATTCAGTCCAGATGCAGGGGAACCCCAGTTCTTCTCGCAGGGTCTTTACTGACCATCCCACAGAGTCAGCTCTGCCATTTTACAGGTTGGCTAAAGAACTCACCATCCCGGTTTCCATCCACCTCTGAGGTTGTTTTCTCAGCTGATATTATTTAAGCATTTTTCTTTATTCTCTCTCTCTCTCCCACCATGCCAACACCACAGGAGCAGCAGAGGATCCTGGATCTGGGAATCACTGGCCCCGAAGGACACGTTCTGAGCCGGCCTGAAGAGGTGAATGCTTACTTGGGTGGCACAAGTTGCTGTTTCTCCCCAGTGTGCTGGGCAGGGAGTGCATGGGGAGGATAGAGACTAGCAGCCTCCAGCCCTCCAGGGGCAGCTTGTTGTGGGCCTGCCCTGGATCCGCCTTTAGGTTCACAGGTTGTGAGGTGGGGGAGGAGCGGCACTCATTTCTGTAGCTTTTTAAGGTTGACCAAGCGATAACGCCCTCATGGCACCTCTGGGAATTGGTGGTTCGAGTTGTATTTTGTAGATTAAGAAACAGAGACCCAGAGAAATTAAGTGACTTGCCCAGGGTCTCAGAGCTAGTAAATATTGGAGCCAGGTTCCCTTGAATGGAGTCAGTAAATCCAACATCTGTTGAGTATGTTCTGTGTGTCAGGCACTGAAACCTTTGGCGGGGACTTCAGATGTGATCGGATCCAGCCCCTTTGTCTGAGAGAGGGAGAGGGATTCCATTCTAGATACAAAGAACAAGCATGAGTGAGGGCCGAAGGATGGCAGAGGGCAAGACAAAGGGAGGGATGGAGTTTGGCTAGAATGTAGAGCCCGTAAGAGAGAAGGAAGGCTGGCTGTGCATAGGAACTGATGTGTCAGTCCTTGTATTCTTGTGGAATAGGCCCTCTCTGTAGGTGCCTCAGATGTGACCATCCCACCCCCTTCCCACAGAAGCTCGGTGTTGGAAGGGACCGCAAGGGCCATCTAATCCAATCCATATTAAAAAAATAAATTTCTACTGAGTATCTGGTGACTGGCCATCCAACTTTTCCTTGAAGATCGCCAAGGAGGGAGAGCTCACTACCCCTTTAGGCAGCCCATTTCACTTTGGGGCAGCTTTCCTGACTGACAGGAAGCTTTCCCTGGCCTCAAGCCTACATCTGCCCCTGTACAGTTTCCTCTCATTGGTCCTAAATCTCCCCTCTGGGGTCAAGCAGATCAAGTCTAGTCCTGCTTGCAAAACCTGTTGACCATCCTTTCCTCTAATGATCATTGTTTTCAGACTTTGGGGAGGGATGAAAAGGACAGAGGAAGAGAAAGCAAGAGGGAGAGGATGGAGCTTGGTGCTATCTGCAAATCCTCAGATGTAGAAGAGCTTATAGGGTTGATTCACAGCATTCTAGCTCTAAAGCTGCAGGGGCCCTCAGAAGCCATATAGCCCAGTCATCTTACTTTACAGAGTGGGAAACTGAGGCCCAGGGCAGTGAAGGGACTTACTGAGGTTCACACAGATGGTATGTGTTAGAGGCAGGATTGCAAGCCGTGCGCCTGGATGGATTTTCTCCCCTAAACTCTTCCTCCTTCTCCAGCAGCTGACCTCATAAATCCCATTCACATCATGGTATCTTTGCAGATCAATGAACAAGCATTTATTAAACACCTACTAGGTACCAGACAAAATGAAATCCTTCCTGCCCTCAAGATGCTTATGTATTTATAGGAAGTAACAGCATGTACACATATGAGTAGAGATATATTTTCGGGCCATTTCCCCTTGGGGCTGGAATCTCCTCGTTCCAGTACTCACGCCCAAGATTTTAGCTGTAGCTTGAGGTCAGAGGAGTCCAAGGTTGCTAGACAGGGGCACGTGGGCCTAACTTCATTTGAAAGTTGAGCCCTTCTCTTGACATGGCGTGCTAGTCGGATGGGGATTGTGGAGGGGGCCTGAGAAGCAGGGGCATTTGTTCCTGTTAAAAGCAAGAGCAGGAGCGGATGTGCCAGTGTGAGTGGAGCTACGTGCCCCTCAGCACAGCCCCGGAGGCGATTTGGAAGGCCTCAGCCTTTCCTTGACTGTTTCAAGTACTCCGTGAGGTTCTTCTTCCCGTGTTTGCTCCAGGGCTCCAGATGGCTGCCTAGATATCCCTGGGGCCCCCTGCAGAGAGAAGGGCGAATTTCAGGCTTCTTCCTCAAACTTTTCCCTAAAAAAAGGAAAAAGCAAAAAAAAATATAATGTGCTAACAGAGAGGAATAATTTAGTGTTTATGTGGATAAAGTAAGACCATGTTCAAAGCCTCAGGAAAATGTGTCTCTCTCTGATGGAAATGGTCAACTTGAGAGTTTCAAAAAAGCTCCAGCAGTGAATCCAGTAGGCTTTCTTCGGGGTCTGGATGGTCTGGGAAAATCACTTGATTGGGACGGGCAGTGCTGAGGAAGGAAGGCCCTTCTTGTTTCCTTGGTCGGAACAGAGATTCGGGTTTAGAACTGGAAAGGGACCTCCCAGATCGGCTAGTCCAATACCCTCACCATATAAATGAGGGAATGGCCTTAGAGAGGACGCATTGAGTGTCCCAGGCCACATAGGTCACACACGTGGCAGAGCTGGGTTACGGCCCCTCATTTCTGGCCCGGCATGTCACTAGAAGGCCTGAGCTTAAGAACTCCTCAATGGTGAGAGCTGTCCCAATGTACAGTGGGCTCCCTGGAGTGCTGGCTGGTTCCTTCTCATTGCAAGCTTTTGTAAATGTGTTTCCTTTTTCTTTTTTTAAAAATTTTTTGTTTTTTTGCTTTGTAGGCAATTGGGATTAAGTGACTTGCCCAGGGTCACACAGCTAGTAAGTGTCAAGTGTTTGGTCTGAGGTCGGATTTGAACTCAGGTCCTCCTGACTTCAGGTCTGGTGCTCTATCCACTGCGCTACCTCACTGCCGCTTTGTTGCAAGCCTTTGAGCAGAGGCTGGCTGACCCTTTGGAGGGGCCAGTGTAGAAAGGCCTCTTGGTCAGGGCCAGGCTGGTGTAGATGGTCTCTGAGATTCTGGTGTTTGCTTTCTAGGGTTAGCTATTACTGTCTTTAAATCCCCTAAACAGTATATTTGTTATGCATTCATCCAACCAATAAGCATTTATTAAACACTTACTATGTGCCAGGCACATAGGGATATCAAGAGAGGCAAAAGCAGTCTGCGCTTCAGAAGCTTCCATTTAATGCTACGTGACAGGAAGTGTCCTGGGCCCCGTAGATAAAAAGGCAAAGAAGCCTGGCCTCCTGGAGCTTACACTCTACTGGGTGGTTAGTGGGACTGACTGTCCTCAGGGCTGGACCATGCAGCATACACAGAAGTCAAATATACTCTTCCTGCCTCTAAGGAACTTATTTCCTGGCTGAGGAGACAAAGTTTCGCGCACTTGAATGTTACTAGAAATATTTAACAGATAAAAATAATTCGCCTCAGTTTCTTTTTTAAAACCAATTCTTTTTCAATTGATGAAAATCTACCTTCTTTCCCTCCCACCTCCCTGTGACCCTGTTGCAAACAGGTGGGGGCAAGCAAGACAAATTCCCACATTGGCTATGTTAAAAAAAAGTCTCAGTCTGTATCTGGAGTCTGTCACTTGACTTTCAGGAGAGTGTTTTTGTTTCATTTGCCCTAGTTTTGTGGGTTACACTTTGGCACAGTGGAAAGAAGACTGGACTTGGAATCAGGATGTCTGGGTTCAAATGCTGGCACTGACTCAAAATCACCTCCCATCCTCTCCATTTCCTTGTCTGTAAAATGGGTTGTTTCAAGACAAGGGCATGGAAGCGTTGAGGATCTAAGGAAGTGAGAAGTCTCATGAGACGACATAACAACGTTGTCATGCTATTCAAACATAGTCTCTGGGCTGGACATGTTCTGACCCAGCCTTAAGTTTGCAGATGAGGAGATGAAGAGAATAGATTGTTCAAAGCTTCTTGCTGAAGGGGAACAGAGGGCCATAGCTTGAGGACTGGAAGGGACTAGTCTAAATTGTGAGGCAGTGTGGTACAGTGGCTAGAGCCTGTGGTTTAGAGACAGGAAAGAATTGGGTTCAAATCTTGTTTCTTATGCTGAATTGTGTGACCCTGGGGAAGCCATTAACTTCTTTGAAGTTCAGCTTTTTCGTCTGTGAAGATGGTACCCATGGCACCCACTTCCTCAGGCTGTTGGGCTCAGATGAGATAATGGGGTAAAGTAAGTACATAGCAGGTGTGAAAGGGCTGCATAAGCATCAGTGAGGTCTACACCAGTTCTTCCTGAGGTCTGAAGGGGAAAGTCGTTAGTGAGTTGGGGAGGGGAGGGTCTGGAAGGACTTCCCAGAAGAGGTGGCTTCTAGAAATGACGGTGAGAAATCGGCAGATGAGGAGGGGGAGGCAAGGTGCTTGAGATTTAGAGGAGCGGCCCTAGTCTAGACTCAGAGGCAGGAGAGCATGAGGCCCATCTCCCAGACAGAGCGCCCAGTTTGCCCAGAGCACCGAGTAATCTGAGATAAGAACTTGAGAACTCCTGGACCCGATTGTTTCCAGTCTAAGGTCGGCTGCTGTGAGGCCCTACGTTTCCCTGTAAGAGGCCTCAGAAAGGAGGGGGCCTCTAGAAACTGGTGGCTGAACTAAACAGGCCGATTCAGAGCTAAGTTACCTGTGTGGGAGGAGGAGGGTGGGAGCTGGAGCTGGAGGGGGAGGGGGCAAAGACAACTGCTGATGGGAGGAGGAAAAGCTGAATTGGGAGGAGGTCCCAACTTTATTTAGCCCTGGAACCACAGCTGGTAGGCGGCTAAAGAGTGCTGGTCCTGGAGTCAGGAGGATGTGAGTTCAAATCCAGCCTCAGACATTTAGTAGCTGTGTGACCTTGGGCGAGTCTCTTAACCCTGTTTGCCTCAGTTCCCTCAACTGTAAAATGGGGACCCTGGAGAAGGAAGTGACAAAACACTCCAGGATCTTTGCTGATAAAACCCCATTGAGGTTACACGGTCAGACACAACTAAAAATAGACTTAACTATAAGAACGAGAGAATGTCAGGGTCATCACCTTTCCCTCCATCCCTTTCCTCGTACAGGTGACCAAACAGGCTCAGAGAGGGGAAAGCAATTAGGGGGCACAGCGGCTAAGAGCTGAACTTGGAATCAGGAAGTCCCGAGTTCAAATCTAGCCTCAGATCCTTACTAGCAGTGTGACCCTGGGCAAGTCCCTTACCCCCCCCCCTTTTTTTTTAATCAATGAAATGGAAATAATGATGCCTGGAGTTCCTGCCTTTTAGATCTGCTGTGAGACTTGAGTGGAATGATATCTGGAAAGTACTCTGGAAACTTTAAGTCTCTGTAGGAATGTCAGTCAACAGACATTTACTGTGTACCTGGCAGTGGGTGTGGGATCATCGTTTGAGAGCTGAAAGGGAAGATAGAAGTCATCTAATCCAAATATTTCCTTTTACAAGTGAAGAAACTGAGGCCCAGAAAGGGGGAGTGATTAGCCCGAGGATACCTAGATAAAGATTCTGAGAGGGAGCCAGGAGTGCTAAGGCAGGTCTGCAGTGGAGGGCCTCAGGGATTGGTGCCCTTTAATGTTTTTATCAATAACTTCTCCAACAGTATAGATGCCATGCTTGTTAAATCTTCAGCTGACACAAAGCAAGGAGGAACAGTTAGCATTTGGACAGAATCAGGATTCAAAAGGATCTTGATGGGTTAGAGCATTGGACTGACTACTCTAATGAGCTGAAATTCAATAGAGGTTAATGGGAAGTCTTCCAGTTGGGTTAAAAAAATCCGTTTTACAAGTACGAGGCAGGCAACTCACAGCAATTTGCATGGCGAACAAAACCAATCACTGTAGGCCCCTCAGCACCCCATTGCCTTCCCCTGGACGCGCCCTTGTCCTTCAGCGTCACACAGTGTGTTCTTTAAAGCACACTTTTGTAGCTCTTTCTTTTTCCTTTTGTAGCTTTTTTGTTCCTTTGAACCAAAGTGCGGGACTTTCCAGTCGTCCCTATTTATTACCTTTCATTGACCCATTTTTCCTTTTGAACTCTGGGGGTGGGGTCCTGATTCTGTCATCTGAGATACTCATTGCTTCCCCCAGCTTTGCAGCATCAGAACATTTAATAAGCTGATAAACAATCCTTCCGTGTCTTCAACCTGTTGGCTCCCTAATTTACTGACCTTGTATCACAGTGCAGAGCTACATGTGAGTGAGATCAGCTTGATTTTATCAAGCAAGACCGTAAGCTATAAAATCCCTAAGTATAAACTCTAGGCCAAACTACCATAAAGTCTCATCAGAATGTGGCCTGTTAGAGCAATTTAGATATAACATGGGTCACATCATGCCCCACGAAAAACAGCAACTGTGTACAGAAGAAACCCGATCCAAACACCATTAGCCATGGCTAAGTGGGAAAGGATTCAAGCAGACAGTTTTCAAAAGAGCACATGCAGGTTGTTAATAATGCCTTGAAAAAATGCCCAGCCCCAGTAACGATCAAAGAAATGCAGATGAAAACAACACTGAGCTTGTACCTAATGTACATCAAATTGTCAAAGAAACTTCAAACCAATGAAACTCAGTGTTTGTGGGATAGTGGAGACATGTATGTATATATACACACATACATATATGTGTATGTGAATCTTGGTATATATGTATGTGTATATATGTGTATGTACATATATATATATATATGTATATATATATGAGAATCCTTTTGGAGAGCAGTCCCTAGGAATGCAGCAAAAATGAGGAAAATAATTATAACACTTATGATTTTCATCCCAGTTATAATTGTAATGGTCAAAAAATTGCAGGCAGTTCAAATGCTCAGCAGTGGGGGGTTGTGGGGGGATGAGTAAATGAATCGTGGCCCATTCATGCAGTGGCATCCTCTGATGCTTTCAAGGCTAGCCGGGAGGAAGAGCACAAAGAAATCTGGGAAGCCTTTTATGCACTAATGTGATCGAAAAGAGGCCTGGAGAAATAGAGCACTACTTGGCCTCAGATCTGGAAGAGGAAAAGGGATGAGGAATACATGGCCAAAGAATCCTGATGGAGACTTAGAGGGAACAAAAGAAAATTCTGACATTTCAGTTATTGAAGTGAATTTATTTGTGTGTAAATAATTGCAAAGCAAATTTCCTCAGTTATATTGGTGGTTCTTATATTGGTGGTTCATTTTCCATGGGGGTGGGAGTCTGTACTTGTGATTTCTTGGTTCATATTCCATGGGGGTGGGAGTCTACATTTGTGATTTCATTGATTTTAGAACTCTGGGTGTGGAAGCTTCCTACATCAATTCAGATTGGCAACTTGCCAGTAGCTGGGAATCTTGACAGGTTAAGTGACTTGCCCAGGGTCACACAGCTAGTAAGTGTCTGAGGCTGTATTTGAACTCAGGTCTTCCTGATTCTAAGGCCAGCTCTAATTCTTCATGTTAATTTCTAATAATAAATAAAAAAAATTCCCAAACACCCACCATTAGTCTAGAAGGAAGATAAAGTGACATATATTTCTTTCTTTCTTTCTTTCTTTCTTTCTTTCTTTCTTTCTTTTTCTTTCTTTCTTTCTTTCTTTCTTTCTTTCTTTCTTTCTTTCTTTCTTTCTCTCTCTCTCTCTCTCTCTCTTTGAGAAGCATCAGGGTTGAGTGACTTGCCCAGGGTCACACAGGTAGTGAGTGTCTGAGGCTGGATTTGAATTGACTCCAGGGCCTATGCTCTGTCCACTGGGACAATGAGGTGTCATCTCTCGATCACTTGTTTATAAAAAGGCTCTATCATATTCCTTCTTTTTGTTTTTCCTCTGCAGAAAGTTGTAGATGTCTAGTTTTCCTCAGGCTTCTTGAAATGAAGTGAGGGCTGCTCACTGCATTCACTGCATCAGCCCTGTACATGACATTTCATCTCTTTCTGTGCCTGTGTCCACATTCCTTCAATTCCATCTACGCCTTTTCTTGGTCGCTGCATAAGAACACTGTCCCGTCCTCTTCCTGGTAGTACTCAGTGCTCACTGGAACCTCAGCCTCTGAGAAAAGCTGACTGAGAATTTTCCTGAGAGTCAGACGTTCTCATCTCCTTCCCTGAAGTCATTTAAACTCTCTGACCCTCAGTTTCCTTTTCTGTTAAAATGAAGTGGGTTGGACGTGATATCTCTGCGGTGCCTTCCAGCCTCAACTATGGGAAGCCGACCATTCAATGACTCTATTCCCCACACATTTCTGTAGCATCTACAACGTGCCAGGCATCATATTAGGCACTTGAGATACAAACGAAACAATCTGAGCTCTCTACAAGCTGATTTTGCACCAGGCTGGGGTTGGAGGGAGGAGAGGAGGGGACTTGAACACAGCATGTGTGCTGATAAGCAAATATAATGTATATAAAGTACACAAAAAGTTAGAAGGAGAGAGGACTAACCCTTGGGGAGAACAGGAAAGGTTTGGTGTAGGGCACGGCCCGAGCTGTGCTGTGCGGGAAGCTAAGGATTCTATGAGGTTAAAATGGACACATGGAGGACCATCTGTGCAAAGGTGCATAGGGAGGAGATGAAATGTGTGCAGGAAATAGTGTGGACATGGAGTGAGCATAGGGAAGTAGCTTGGAGTTGTCCTAGAAAGGTAGACAGGAACAGGATGGTAGAGGGCATTAACTGCTAGGCTGATTTGGTATATTGTCCTAGAGGCAAACAGGCAGCTAGGTGGCACAGTGGGTAGAACGTGGAGCCTAGAGTTGGGAAGACCTGAAGTATCTAAATATGGCTTTAGCCACTGACTAGCTGTGTGACCCTGGGTAAGTCACTTCATCCAGTTTGCCTCAATTTCCTCATCTGTAAAATAGCTGGAGGAGGAAATGGCAAACCACTCCCGTATCTTTGTCAGGAACACCCCAAATGGGGTCACAAAGAGTTGGACATGACTGAATAACAATCTAGACGGGGTAGGGAGCTATTGAAAATTCTTTGAGCAGAGAGGTGACATGATTTGGTCAGAGTTTTAGGAGTATTGGGTGGGGCACGCTTTCAGAAGGGGGGTTATCATTGTGATGACTGTGTACCCCATGGATTCTAACGGCATTCAGAGAGGGGGGCATGGAGAAAAGAGCTTGCTGGCCCTATCACAGGCTCACACGTGGATGTTGTCTTGCAGGTCGAGGCTGAGGCTGTGAACCGGGCCATTACCATTGCCAATCAAACCAACTGCCCGCTGTATATCACGAAGGTGATGAGCAAAAGTGCCGCTGAGGTCATCGCCCAGGCCCGGAAGAAGGGTGAGGACGGCCTGCGGGCTGGTGGAAGGGGAGGCTGGGTGGCTCCCACCGGGGAGACAATGCCTTTTCCAGCCTCCGCTGCCAAGCCGGCTACTTTTATCACGTTCCAGCATTAACCTAATTACAGTGAACTGAGGCCCAGAGCTCAGGTTACGCCTTCGTTCCGCTCCCGAAGCCTTGCTTAGCATCTATTTAAAGTTGCCACACTGCAGAGAATGGGTGGGCAGGCCCCGTCTTCTCCCTCTCCTATGCCAGGCTTGGATTTAATTCAATCCAGTCTAAATAACCTCCCCTGCATATGCCTGTGACGTCAGTTTCCATCTGGCCGTGGAATTCCTCTGGGGAACATTGTGTAGCCAGAAGCCTTCTCCCCCGTGACTTGATAAGGCTGAGGGGGTGTGGGGAGGGGGTGGGGTGAGGATGCTTTCCCATTCTTGTGCAGTACGTGGGTGATCTGGCCCCTAGTACTTAGGCTATTTTCTATTAGTGATCCTGGACCTTTGGGACAGAGGTGTTATGTTGTACTGAACAGGGCACTGGGCTTGAGGTCAGGAAGACCTAGGTTCAAATCCTTCCTCAGGCACTTACTAGCTGTTTGACCTTAGTTAAGTCACTTAATCTCTCCAGTGCCTCAGTTTCCTCATCTGTCAAATGAGGGAGTTATACTCAAGGGCCCTTCTGTCTTTAAATCTACCATCTCACAAACTGCTCTTTTATTTGTGAGAAGTCTATTTGCTACATTATTAAAACTCCATTTACCTAAGTTACTAAAGGGAGGCGAGGTAGAAAGAGCACAGAGCCAGGGTCAGAGGCCCTGAGTGAATCTGGGCCTGGGGCGAGTGACCCCCTGTCTCTGGGCTTTGGTATGAGGTCACTGCCAGCCCTAAATCTAGAGTCCTAACAGGGAAGACAGTGGATTTGGAATCGGGAGATGGGGGTTCCCATCCCCTCACTTACACTGCCTAAGCTGTGTTACCTTGGGCAAGGATCTTAACCTCTCCAGGACTCAGCCTTCCTGGGCTATAAAATGGGGATAAAAATACTCATCCTACCTATTTCCCAGGGTGCTTTCTTTATTCTTTCAGTTTCTCCTTTACTTGTTCTTTCTTTCTTCATTCTTTCTTCCTTCTTCCTCCTTTTCTTAGTTTTTCCTCCCCTTTCATCCCTCCCTTTTTTCTTATTCCTTCTCTTTTCTTTCTTCTTTCTTTTTCCTTCTCCTAAGTGGGATCCAGGTTCTTCAAATTCAATGCAACAAACAATCATTGAGTTCCTGCTGTGTTCCAGGCACTGGGATCACAAAGACAAAACCATAGTGCCTGCCTTCAAGGAGCTTGCATTCTACTGGGGGCAGAGATGATGTGCTGCTTGAGTAGGAATTAGTAAAATGGAGGGTCCTTGTTTGGCATTCTCACAAGCCACACCCCAGAGGAATGCCCAAGCAGAACAAAGCTAATCCCTCCTGCAGGTGACAGCCCTTGAGATACTGCTTACACTGACCTCCATACCCAGTCTTGACTGCACGGTGGGGGGAGTGCCTTACACTGATGAAATGACAGGTCCAGCCTTCCCCGCAAAAAAGAAAAAAAGAAGATTTCAATTACAATTATTCAAGCAGGGCTGTTATAGTTAAAAAAGAAAGAGGAAGAAAGCAGCTGAGCAAAACCAGCCAGGGTCTCAGCCGTGTCTGAAAGTGCATGCGCCATTCTCCTCCCCAGCAGCCCTCAGCTGTGCAGCGAAGTATGGGAGATTGCATTGCTATCATTTCCTTCTCTTTTTCAAGTTTACCGAGAGTTCTGATTTGCCAGTTCGGTGACACTTGGGTGCTGGGCAGTCCGTACCTTGGCCTATGTGCCCTTTGAGGCTCTGATGGGCAGTCTAATCTTTACCTTGGCTTCCGAGGCTCTGACTTAGACAATAGTTTTGAATGCTGCCCCAGGCCCCAGCCCCCAGCCCCCAGCGCATTCAAGAGACTTGATCAATGGAGACCGTCTGGGTTGATGCCCCAACAAAAACCCAGGGCTCCAGCTGTACTGTGGGAACCACCGAGGGGGGCCCTGGGCAGAAGCCCCAACATTTGCATTTCATAAAGTCTGTTGGTCGGTAGCCAAGGCTTTCTCATTCTCACTGCAGCGCCTCTTCCCCCTACCCACCCCCCCCTTGTCCATAAAGGAGGAGCAGGATGTAGCTGTGTGCTCAGGCCACCAAACCAGCCCTGACTTGGAGGCCCCTGAGAGCCTGAAAATGCCCCCCCCCCCCATGCTGATGGGCCTGGAGATCACAGGGATGTTGCCCCAGCCCTTTCAAGTCTGCAAAGCATTTTGTGTATTTGGATTTTTTTTTCCCGTATGTGCCTCCCAACTACTTCATGAGGACAGGCAATACAGGGCTTGTTATTACCGTCATTTTACAGATGACGAAACTGAGGCTTAGAGAGATTTGCCCAGGGACACACAGCCAGGAAGTATTAGAGGTGAGATTTGACCAAGTCTAGCATTCTGTCCACCCTTCCACATTTGAAGCAGCTAGGTGGTAGAATGATGAGAGCTCTGACCCGGTTTCAAGTCCTGCCTTCAGACACTTACTAGCTTTGTGATTCTGGGTAGCCTGGTTCCCCTCGCTGCTTTTCCTTCCCAGATAACCTACCATCTGTTCTATATTTTGTCCCCAGTTTTACACGTCTGCTTCATTAGGATGTGGGCACCTTGGGGGCAGAGGCTGTTTTTATCATTCTTTGTATCCTTAGCATGGTGCCTGGCTTGGTCAGTGCTTGATAAATGCTTGTTGACTAACAACTTCCTCGAGCCTCAGTTTCCTTATCTATAAAATGGGCATAGTAATAGCATTTACCTCACCGGGTTGTTGTGAGGCTCAAGTGAGCTAACATGCAAAATGCTCTGTGTACCTTAAACGGGTAAATATTATCTATTTAATATACACACTGTATAAATGTTAATTATCATCACTATTTGGAGGCTTCATGGGATGCTGGCTAGAGATCTGGCCTGGCTTCTGACCTGGACAGGCTGTGTGACCCTTAACCTCTCAGTGCCCCAGGTAACTCTTTCAGTTGCAGAGAAAGTGTTGACCTGAGTTGGTAGAAGGAACTTGCTCCCCCAGGAGTTCTCTGTACTGGTGAAATCGCACGTGTGTTCTCTACCCTTGCCCACACCGTCATCATCATCTTCATCACCATCATCATCATCATTGTCATTGTTGCTGTTTGAGGGGTAGTTGAGGGCACTGGGGTTCTGAGATCACATAATAAGAGTTCTGAAGGGACTTGAGACACTGTCTAGTCTAACCTCATTGACAGATGAGGAAACTGAGTTTTGGTGAAGCTGTGACTTGCCTCCAGACACAGGGAGTGAGCGTTGGAGGTGGGATGTGAATCCAGGTTTTCCTCGTGATTCTAAGCCCGGTCCTCTACCCACTAAGCCATGCTGCCTCTAGATTTCGGGTGGACCCTGCTGGTTCTCTCCAAATATTTGAAAGGATCTCCTGTAGAAGGGTTGGATTTGAATGAATAAAAGAGAAAAGGCCTTTCTTAGGCCCCTACTATGTGCCAGGCATTATAATAAATCTTGGAGGTAAAGATGGAAAGGGAGGCTGAGCCTACCCTTAAGATTACATTGCCGTTGGGGAGATCAGGAAACCAGGGGAAGGCAACACAGAGACTGTTTCTCTTTGGTCCCAGAGGCCAGAATTAGGAACCAGGCATCCAGATTGCAGAGAAAGCACCTAAGGTCTGATGAAGAAGGCACTCCCTGGCACTTAGGGCTGGCTAAAGGTGGAGGGGGCTGCTCTCCTCCCAGGCGGTGGCTTGCCTGCGACTGGAGGGCCTCAGGCACGAGGCCGCGTGACCGTGGGGCTGCTTGTGGAGGGGAAGGCTTGTTGAGGTAGAGCGCAAGGCCTCTGAAGCCTTTTCTGCCTCTGAGATTCTGGGCATATTTTCGGAACCCTGGGGAATGCTGCCATACAGACAGGCCTCAGGCCAGCCCAGCTGAGGCTTTGGAGAATGTTTATTCTTTCCTTCCATGAGCTCTTTCCCCAGGGCCCTGACACCCTCCTGGCTTGGGGAGCTGTTATTCTTCCTTCCCAGGAGTGAGCTGCCTGGGGCCCTGCCCAGCTCGGTCACCCCCTCAGGTCTCTGTGAGATTCCTGAGGTGGGAGGCCCTCCGGCGTGGCTGGAGGAGGCAAACAGGGTGGTGTAATGTATTTATCAGACAATAAATTGGGCCTCAGAAATGGCTAAGGGGAGAGGAGGTGCATTCCGTTCTGGGAAATGTCTGGCTTTAAGAACTGCCAGAGATGTTTGTGTTTTAGGAGGTGTGGAAAGAGGGCCAGAGCTATGCTCATATACTTGTTTGGGGGACTTGCAGAGGCAGTGTGGTGAAGTGGTCAGAAGTGTGGAACTTGGAGCCAGGAGGACCTGGGTTCGAATCCTGCCACTGACCTTACTAGCTGTGACACCGGGGACAAATCTGAGCCTCAGTTTCCTCATCAGGAAAGGGAGGGGATTGGACTAGATGGCATAGGAGAGGCTCATGCCTCTACTTCTATGATTCTATGGCCTGGGGGGAGAGAGCCTGGTATCATCTGGTGATGCTGACTGTTGGGCTGTTGTAATTCCCAGGCACCGTGGTGTATGGGGAGCCCATCACAGCCAGCTTAGGGACAGATGGGTCTCACTACTGGAGCAAGAACTGGGCCAAGGCAGCAGCTTTTGTCGCTTCTCCACCTTTGAGCCCTGATCCGACCACGCCTGACTTCCTCAACTCTTTGCTGTCTTGGTGAGTAGGGGACCCTTCCCGATGCCTCCAGGTTCCCAAGAGTCAGGTCCCCTCTGCCATTTTCTTCTCTTCATTCTCTAACAGACCTGACTGCAATCACATTTGATCGATTTAAGGGATGAAAACAGGCTTGCAGGCAGTCGCTCATTTCACCAGCCTGACCCCAGGGACGATTTACACTCTGGAAGCCTCATGTTAGCACTACTAGCTGTAGAATGAAATCTAACCAGTAGAGTCAAGGGCCATGAGTCTACGTCACATGGGGATTGTTTGAAGGAGTGGGGGATGTTCGGTCTGGAGAAGAGAAGGTTCCGGGGTCATGTGATTGCTGCCTTCAAGTATTTGAAAGGCTGACATATCGAGGAGATATATTAATTGTTCTGTTTGACCCCAGAGGACAGAACCAGGAAAAAAGAGAAACTACAGAGGGAAATTTGAGTTAAATGTAAACAAAAACTTCTGAACAATGAATAGCCATCCAAAAAGGGGATACCCTAGAAGATCCTGCTGGAGGTCTTCAAGTCAGTCAGTTAACATTTAGTCAGCACCTTTTATGTGACAGGCATGGTGCTAAGGCTAGATAGATACAGAGAAAGGTAAATGACAGTATCTGCCTTCAGGGAGTCCACAGTCTAATAAGGAAGACAGCATGCAAACAACTATGTACAAACAGGCTAGCGACAGAGTAAATGGGAGAGGGAAGGCACTAACATTAGGGGGGATGGGGAGGGTAGGACTTTAGCTGAGACTTGTGAAAGTTAGGGAAGCCAAGAGGCAGAGATGAGGAAGGACAGCATACCAGGCATGGGAGCCAGCCAATGAAAACACCTGGAGTCTGGAGATGAGTGTCTTCACTGAGAAAAACTAGGAGGTCACCGTCGTTGGATTTCAGAGTACATGAAGCCTGGAAAAATGAGAAAGGGCCAGGCTCTGAAGGACTTTAGACACCAGAAACGGTATTTTATGTTTTATTTTGATTCTGGCCGATGAGTCTATTGAAGGGAGTGTTACGTGATCAGACATGCATTATAGGAAAATTACTTGGACAGTTGAGTGGAGGCTGGTGGATCACAGATATGGTTGAGTGGGGACTTTTGTCTTTTTGGTGGTGGGGAGGTGTGTGGGTTAGATCAGCTGGCTTCCGAGGCCCTATTCCACTCAGAGATTCTGTGACTCTGGCCCTGTGAGGTTTCTCCATTGTGGAGATGATCTCAGTTACTTACTGAGGGACCCAGTAAACTCCATTATGTAATTATACCTTTAAGGAGCTTCCAGGTGCCTGCTTGAGAACGGTGTCATAGTGAAGCCCTGGTATCTTTGCAAAATATTTTATTGATGCTCTTTAGAAAAGAATCACCATCTCTGGTGACTCCACCCTTCTTCCTCAAGAGCACTCTCCCTCATGACAGATAACACTAAAAACACATGGACACATTGGCCTTGTCTGAAGGTGTATGCCTCCTTCCACCGCCATAGGCCACCATCTTTTTGCTGAGAAGCAGTAGCCATCAGGCCCTAGTGTTGTCTAAAGAAATAATAAATCGTTCCAGTGACTTTTCCTTCCTTCTGGGGAAAAAGGCAGGCTCACTCAAATGAATGTTGATGGTGCAATTCATTGGGCTTTTGCACATATCCTTAAGGTTGTATGGAAGTGAATGGTGGCCTTCCTTCTACCTCTGTAGATCTCTGTATATCTAAAAACGTGGACGGCAATGGGTGTCTTTTCATGCCTATCCCACATGACAGTGCTGAAGCATTCAGGGCTCTCTCATCTCCTTTCATCTCTCCAATTCACTGTCTGTGGTATTTGCCTTTCAGTGGGGATCTCCAGGTCACTGGCAGTGCCCACTGTACTTTTAACACCGCGCAGAAGGCTGTGGGAAAGGATAACTTCACCCTGATTCCTGAGGGCACCAATGGAACTGAGGAGAGGATGTCCGTCATCTGGGATAAGGCTGTGGTATGGCATCCCCCATCGTGGGAGGGTCCCCTGCCCTGGAGGTCGTGGTATTCCTCTCTGAATTGATTCATGAGAGCTTCTCCCACGTAAAGTTCTCATGGGGGTCCTTATCTGATCATCCGTGGCATGCCAACAGTAGGATATAAGCTCCATGGGAGCAGGCTTATTTTCCATTTTGTCTCTATGACCCAATGCCTGGCACATGGTAGACATTGAATGAATGCTTGTGGGATCACACTGCTTTGGCTTTGCCCCTTAATGGGGATCCCAGAAGTTGAGTCTGGGTTTTTGGTGAACCCCTTGTGATGATTATTGATGGTCCTCATTTTTGTAAGGGAGGCTTCATATGTTTGCACACTGAAGGCTAATCCTATGGACCCGGATATCAGGCTTATAAAAATCATGTCTTCCATTCTAATGGCTATTTCCATGTGAATGGCAATACCTATAGAGGCACATATGCCCTGAGAGGCCTTGTCCCGTAGTGGACAGAGGAGGGTTGGCCCAGGAGGCAGCCAGTATTCATTAAGCACCTTCTATGTGCCCAGCATTGTACTAGACAATGGTAGTACAAAGCCAAAATGAAATGGGGCCTGCCCTCATAGAGCTTACATTCTACTGGGGAAATAATGTGTACAAAGATAAGTAAATACAAGATTCAAACTGTGTGACTTTCAGGCCCCAGGCCACTCGTCTATAAAATGAAGGACGGCCAGGTGGCACAGTGGATAGAGTGCTGGGGCTGGAGTCAAGAAGACTCATCTTCCTGAGTTCCAATCCAGCCTCAGACAATTTACTAGCTGTGTGACCCTAGGCAAGTCATTTAACCTTTTTTGCCTCAGTTTCCTCATCTGTAAAATGAGCTGGAGAAGGAGATGGCAAACTACTCCAGTCTCTTTGCCAAGAAAACACCAAATGGGGTCATGAAAAGCTGTTCGTGACTGAAACAACTGAACAACAACATCAAAATAAAGGGGTTGGATGAGATGATTGCTAAAGTCCCTTTCAGCTCTAACATTGCGTGAAAAGATATTTGGCGGCTGCCAGGCCTGTCTTCATATCATGACAAATTTGGTTTGATTGTTCATCTTTCTAAGATCCCTGGGGAGCTGCTGTGCTCCCCTCTAATTTTTATATCTGTGACTCAGAAGCCGCGTGGATAGTCTGCTAGGTGCTTCCCTGCATATGGCGCCCCATGTCCCACCTGTCTTTGCCATGTGGCTCCTGTGACTGGAATATAGTTCTCCCTTACCTGTGACCTGTATGTCCCCTAGCTTCCTTCAAAACACAATAAAGGCGTCTTCCCCTTTGCCCTTACGTGAGGCCTTTCCTTATTTGCACCCTCTCCTTGGGAGTGTTTTCTCTAAAAATTGCTTTGTGTACTTAGTATGCCCTTTGTGTTTACTTCTTTATTTACGCTCTGTGCTTTCATCTTAGTGGGGACTCTAAGAGTCCCGAGGTGGACACTCCCTCCCTGATGCAGACCAGCCATTCTTTTGTAGCTTAAAGGCTTCTAGACTTGCCTGAAGCACTCATTGGTGCCCAGGGTCACACAGTCAGGATTTGAACTCAGATCTTCCTGACTTCAAGTCTGGTATCTAATCCATATGCAGAATTGAATTGTGATCCTTTTCAGGGGGCACTGATTTTGTTCCTTGGTTTTTTTCTTCCCTAGGTGACCGGAAAGATGGATGAGAACCAGTTTGTGGCTGTGACCAGCACCAACGCGGCCAAGATTTTCAATCTTTATCCCCGGAAGGGCCGCATTGCTGTGGGCTCTGATGCTGACCTTGTCATCTGGGACCCTGACAGTGTCAAAACCATCTCAGCCAAGACTCACAACATTGTAAGTTACTTAAACCGTGTAGCCCTTGACTGGCCAACGTGCGCTACAGGGGAGCTGGAGACAGAAGACCCAGGTTTAAATCTTACTTCTGGTGCTTACTGCCAATATGACCTCCTAAGCAAGTGCTTAACCTCTCTGGCCTCAGTTTCCTCATCTGTAAGATGAAGGAGATGGACCTTTGAGGTCCCTTCCAGGTATAGAATTATCATCTTGTGATTCTCTAGAGAGGCCATAGAGATAGGGCAAAGGGCACCTCTCTCAGCCCAGTGCTGGATAAGGCAATTTAAAGTAGGCTCATTCTTAGTGAAAGTCAGCCCTTTTAGGAGGGGTATCCCTTCTCTGGGGCTGCTGGGGGATGGAGGAGCAGAATTGGGAAGGAGGATTCATTCCCTGGTGTCTTGAAAGAATTATTTCTAAAGTAGAGTCAGCCCTACTGAGACATGGCTTCTTTCTCTGTAGCCTCTTGGGCTCCTGGGCCTTCGCGCTGAAGCTTGAAAGAGAATTCAGGGCATACCTTCCCTGCGTTAGCCTCGATCTCATTGAGGTTTTCTGCTCAATGAAATCAGACTTGAAAGAGCCCTGAAAAAGGGCAACCTTTGTACAGAAGGTGGGCAGCTGTCTAAAGCATTTGGTTTTAGAAACAAGTCCTGGATGACGTCTGCTCCTAGGAAATCTCTTGAACTACTTTTCCAAGGTTTCAAGGTGTTAGAGTTTTCCTGGGGATTCCTTGAACCCTTTTTCCAGCAACTGTCAAAGAAAACCTGTACTAATCTTGAAAAGATTAGTGGAAAACTCCAACGACAGGAGACAGACCTGTTAAAACCCATGAGGATAATGTTCCAAACTAAATTGCATTCGGCACAACCGAGGAAACATATTCTGAAAGATTCTGAAGACCGGGGGGTCTTAGTGGACTCCAGCCTTAATATGAATTAATGGTGTGGTGTGGCAGCCACAGAAGACTAATGAGATCTTAGGATCCATTAAGAGACATACTGTTCAGATAACAGGTGATTATTGCGATTGACTTTTTCTGAAATCCCACCTTTGGCAAGAAGCCTTTCCTGATCCATCTTAATGCTGGTGCTTTCCCTCTGAGGTTATCCCAATTTGTCCCATATGTGTCTTGTCCATAGTTTATTCACCTATTGTCTTCCTCATTAGGCTCCTTAAGAGCAGGGACTGTCTTTTGCCTTTCATTATACACCCAGCACTTAAGTATAGGCACATGATAAAATGCTTGTCAATTGACTGACATCATATTTAGTTCTGATCAGTATCGTTTGGGAAAACACCAACAAGTTTCAGAGGGCCTGGAATCCCTTTGGTATTGGGATCTGTCGAGGACACTTTAGCCTGGAGAAGTCAGGGCTCAGGGCTGCCAAGGTTGCTGATGTCTCGTGTTTGAAGAGCGATTGGATGGATTCAGTTCTAACAGTAATGGAGGACATTGATGCCGCAAATTTAGGAAAGATGTTTTTGAGGACAAACTTGCTGAGGGTTGGTGCTGTCCTCAGGTGGAATGAGCTCCCCCCTCCTTGGAGGCCCTGGAGCCAAGGCCCGATGGCCTCTTGTCAGAGTGCTAGAGTGAGGATTCTTTTGGATTGGAGCAGTGTCTTAGCATCCTGCTTGGCACAGAGTTGGTGCTTAATAAATGCTTATTGTTTGATTGATGGGTGCTGACGTCCCTTTTGTCTGTGAGATCCTTTCGTTCCTTGACCCCCTTTGGTAAGAATGGGGCCTTCAAGGCTGGGTAGGGCTTCTGGAGGAGAGGAGAGGAAGGGGCAGGTCTTTTAGCCTCGGAGAAGAGTGAGAGCAAAGGTTCATTACCCGCTGAGTGGGTCCAGGGGGTGGGAAACCTTCGTGTCCTGAAGCCACGTGTGGCCTTCTAGGTCCTCAAGGCCCAGAGGATGCATCCTCCTGCCTGCCTCTCACCTTCAAGTGACCTTACTCGTGCAAGTGTACTTCTCTCATGGTGCCAGATTCCTTTCACTGCCATGGAAGACATGGCCCTACGAAGTGCCCCGAGTTCTTCGGAGGGCTTTTGGAAAATGTACTTAGGAGGCTTCCCCCATCTCCCACCCCACCCCCTCGGTGTTTCCTAGGTTGTGCCTAATGCGATTTAATTTGGAACATTATCCTAATGGGTTTTAACAGGCCTGTCTCCTATCGGTGGAGTTTTCCAGGCATGGGGCCAGATTGGTAATTTTAGGGGAAGCAGCCTGGGGGAGGGGGGAAAGCCTTTGGACTTGGAGTCAGGAGACTGGGCTTTCCTGTCCTGGATCGAACACGTAGCAGCTGTGTGATTCTACCTCAGTCCTTTAACTGCTTCGAGCCTCAGTTTCCTCATCTGTAAAATAGGGGCAATAACTCTTGCCTTAGATTCTTGTGTGAGAAATCATTGGAAGCCTTAAAGTGCTATTGAAAAATGAACTTTAGTACCCTTATTGTTAATGGGTTGAGGAAGGTGGATCACTCATGGTCTTCTCATTTTATGTTTAACTGATGCCTTTCATTTTTGTTTTATGTGCTCTCTCTATTCTATTTTAAATTTTTTCTTGGTTTCATTTTGTCTTCAGTCATTTCTGAATATCTTGCTGCCCTGTCTCCTATCCAGAGAACCAGCCTTTTTAACAAAAACAGAAAAAGAAGGTAGCTAAGCAACACCAACCAGCAAATAGCTTGTAGCTGAAAGTGCCAGCAGTGTTTCATACCCATAGGCCCCCACCTTTCTAAGAAAAGGAAGGGGGAGAACATGGGTTTGGTCCTCCAGTTGGAGTGACAGTGCCTGGGATCTGAATCCCCTCAGTTCTGACCATGTTACTGGACTCAATTGGAAGCCCCAGGCCTGTCACGTGGCATTGAAAGCTTGGCTTTCCCTCTTTCTTAAATCATTTGCTTTTCACGTGCTGTTCATGGTGAAGGCCATACATACAGTTTCAGGCAGAATTGAGGAAGGCTCCGCGCCTGATTGGGGAAGACAGATGGGGAGCTGCATCATTGGAGAGGAGAGGACCCAGTAGAGATCTCAGAGACATGGGTACATGTGCAGGCCCTGTGCTAGGCACTAGAGGTACAAAGACCAAAAAGGAGCAATCCTTGCCCTCAGGGAACTTATATTCAATTCACTCCTAGAATGGAATCTCCTTTCACTGATGCAGATTTGCAGCTTCTTGGGGATTTATCATCTTACAGAATTGTTGGAGGCAGCCAGGTGGCTCAGTGGATAGAGTACTGGGCCTGGAGTTATCAAGACTTGAGTTCAAATCCTGCCTCAGACACTTGCTAGCTGTGTGACCCTGGACATGTCATTTAATCTCTGTTTGCCTCAATCCACTGCAGAAGGAAATGGCGAACCGCTCCAGTACTTTTGCCAAGAAAACCCCATGGACAGTATTGGTGTGCTGTGGTCCACAGGGTCATGAAGAGTTGGATGTGACTGAATAACAAAGAGAATTGTTGGGGGGGTGGGGAGGACACATAGCAAGTCAAGTTCATGAGCATTTATTCAGCACCTCCGGTATGCCAGACACTGTGCTAAGCATTGGAGGTACAAAGACGGGTAAAAATAGTACCTGTTCACAAGCAGAATGGAATCCAGCGCAGTGCGGCCCTTATTGAGGGCCCAGCTACCAACACCATCCTTCAAGAGTGGGCACCTCTCTGTTTGAGGCTGCCAGGTGTCAAAGGTTAGACAGCCATTCGGTGGGGGTGGTGAAGAGGGGCTTCTTGGGGAGGTAAGGGCTGGCTTGGATGGTATCTGAGGTCCTCTCTGACTCCGATTCTCTGATCGGCCAAGCTAGGGGAGAGGCTCTTTGGAGAAGGTACGTGGAGGAGCAGCGGCTGAGCTTGGCCTGGAAGGGCAGTTTGCACAGATCTGACTGTTGCCTTTTCTTAGGGTTGTTTCTAAGGTGACTGGATTCTGCTTGCAGAGTCATAGATCTGGAGTGGGAAGGACCTTGGAGGCCAGCTATTTCCACCCTTTTATTTTACAGATGAGGAAGCTGAGGGCCCGTGCAGGTTCTGACTAACCTAAGATCTCACAGGTCGTAAATGTCAGAGGCCTGATTTGAACCCATATCATAGGATCATAGGTGTACAGTTGGAAGGGACCTAGAGGCTATCTAGTCCAAGCCTTTCCCTTTACCTGTGAGGACACTGAGGACCAGAGAGATTAAGTAGCCACACGTAGCAAGCATCAGAGTAGGATTTGGACCCGGATTTTCTGACTCTAGAGGCAATGCGCTCTTCACGTGGTCATTTCTGGCTTGTGGCCCAGAGGATCTCAGGTCTTGTGCTCCCCCCCCCATCCTTGCTCTTTGTTGCTTTTGAGGAGGGGAGGAGGCGGGGGTCTCCTCTGCCAGGCTCGCGTTGTCTCTTGGGTCACTCTCAAGTCGCCTTCTTGCGCTGCTGACGTTCCTGGCGCCTCCTGGCCCTTCCCAGCCCTGGGATGAAGACGATAACAAGCCCTGCCTGATGGCGGTGGGTGAGGCTGCTCCCAGTATCCGGAGTCATTGTGTGAGAGCAGAGCCTTACGCCTAATACCACTGGGGGCCGTTTCAGGAAAACTCCCCCCTTGTCTTTTTTTCCTTTTTCCATGCATGGTGCATGCACACCCATGGCGTTGCTGATAGGCTTCCTCCAGGTTTGGAATCCCAGATCGGTTGTCCAGGGAATTCTGGGAGGGAAAGTACCTATTGTTCTCTCTGGGCCGATTCCAAAACTCTGAAAAGAACTTTGGGAGTGGAAAGTGGTGCAGCAAACAGCCAGCTGGTAAATGTTGTGCTGATTACATCAGAGCCCTCTTTGAACATGACTCGTTATTTTGGAGTTTGGGGAAGGAGCTTGGGTAAATCAGGTCCTTCCACACAAAATGGCAACACAGAACAGCAGGGTACGGGGAAAGAGGAATAGACTTGGCATCACTGGGGACATGGATTTGCAACATTATCCTTGTGACCGTGGACAAGTCAGTCACTCCATCTCTCTGATCTCCTATT